GACCATCTAAGATGCTGGCAATTGAACCAGGTCAGCTGCATGCAAAGCAAGCCGTACCCATTATACTCTCTCTTCAGCTCCAAGCTTTGGTATAATTATATAATTTATTCTGTTTTATCTAAATCCTTATATTGTCCTCCTAGGACTGCTCAAAGTTCCGTAGTTTTCAGTAACCCTGTCACCTCAGTATCTCTTTCACATAGATTATAGTTAACAAAGATTCAAAATCCTTTTTATTTTCTTTTTTTACTAATTATTTTGCTGTTTTGGGCCACACTTCGGAGTACTTGAGATTACTCCTTCCATGGTAAAGGGAATTATTGCTGGCAGTGCTTTGGGAGGCCAATGTTTATCAGATTGACCTGGGATTTCTTCATGTGAAGCATATACTCCAGTCCTTTGAACTATCTCCCTGGTTTATTAAATCCTTTTGATAAATAAGTAATACCTTTTTATCAAGTTTTCCCCATCTTTTCTTATGCAGTTAGTTTTATTTAACCCTGAATGTTGGAATTTCATATCATCACATGTTTCTGAATCTTTGATAGTCTACTAGATTTTTCATGTTTAAGTTAGGTACTAAAACTTCTACTTCCTTATCTAAGTCACTGGTGATACTTAGCAGTAATAAGGAATCAAATTTCACTGGTGAAGACTTTTCTCTCTATTCTCCACTCCTCTTTAAATTCCATTTAATCCACTGATCAGCACCTTTGACTGTTGCTGCTTTACTTAATAGTCTTTTGCCTCTAGTCTGTTTTTGATGTTTTTATATGTCAAATTAGTATTTATTATTAATAATGGTTTCCACTGAGTGCCAATTTCGTTTCTAAGAACTACATATTATTTTGGGCTGGAGTGATAGCACAGCGGTAGGGCATTTGCCTTGCACGCGACTGGCCCAGCAGAGCCCAGTTCGATTCTTCCACACCTCTTGGAGAGCCTGGGAAGCTGAGAGTATCTCGCCTGCACAGCAAAGCCTGGCAAGCTACCCGTGATGTATTCAATATGCCAAACACATAACAACAAAGTCTCACAATGGAGACGTTACTGGGCCCGCTTGAGCAAATTGATGAACAACGGGAAGACAGTGGACAGTGCTACATATTATTTTATTTAAATTTTTGTCTACATTGTAGGAGGTGTTGTTGCCCTTTTTATTTTATATATGAATAAATGGATTTAGAAAGCTTAATGGCACCCCAAACTCCTAGCTCTTTTAGAGGTAAACCTGGTTTAATACAGGTGTGCTGTCAGCTGCCTCCTCATCCTTAATGCACCTTCTGTAGTGCTTTTTATGTACCAGATTTTAAGAATGCCTTGAATAAGTAAATAAAGTTGGGTCTGATTCTTGTTTCTCAACATTCATTTTATAAGGAGAGAGAAAAAAATCTATTATTATATATTCCACGTACTATACAGGGATAAAAATAGTGATTTGATAGCAGAAAAACAAGCATAACTAGGGAGGGAGGGAGGCAGAGATGTAGAGTAAAATGTTGGATTAGCAAATTTGCTAGATAAAGCTAGCATTATGTTCATAAAAAGTGTTATCTTTAATGGCTTTAATTCCTTCAAACAGTTTTGATTTTTTTAAATCTATTTACTGTCATGACTGACATATTAATCAGTACATTTTTTGTTTTGCTTTGTTTTCTGTTTTGGTGAAGCGAGGTAACTTTCATTGAAGCTTATTTAGAAAAATGTGTGGGGAGAGAAAGAAGTGTGTGTTCAGGAGAGAACACAGACTTCTCCGTAGTGAAAATAGAGAAGCAAAGAAACAGACAAGCATGCAATATATGTATTCAAGGGAGAATACGGGCTTGAAGAGCAACCCTAATTAGTACTATTAACCACTTCTCTTTTTTGGACATGTATTATAAGCTAGGCCATTTAAATATACCAAACCTGCAAGGTGAATTACCTACATATTTGTATGCAGTGAGTCTGAAAGAGAGGTTGATTTGTCTAAAATTGTATAGCCATAAAGTAAGCCAGGACTTAAAAACATTTCATCATACTTAAAAGCTCTTTCAGGCCCAGAGATAGCAGGTAAGGCACCTAACCTAGGTTCTATCCTCGATACCCCATATTGTTTCCAAGCACCACAAGGAGTGAGCCCTGAGCACAAAGCCAGGAGTAAGCTCTGAACTCCACCAGGTGTGACCCCAGTCTCCTCCCCTTCCCCCCAAAAAACACCCTTGAAAGTTTTTTCCTCTAGGCCACATATGTTCCACTACCTTTAGCAGTAGAGTAGATTTCTTTCTTTCATGTTTTTAACTCAAGAACATGAAAGGAATGCTTATGTTCTTGGGTGCCATGGATCAAGCTGGGTTAGCTGCATGCAAGGCAAGCCTTGCTCTCTCTCTCTCTCTCAGGCCCTCAAACCTATATATATATATATTTTTTTTTTAAAAGACTTTTTGTTTTGGGCCACACTTGGTTGTGCTAAACCCTGGTTTTGCTCAAGGATCACTCCTGGTCGCTTTGCATGCTAAATGCCTCAGATAGATCCCCAGCACTACCAGAACCAAGTACCACCAAGTGTGGCCCCAAAGCAAATAATAGCAATTTAAAGAATTTAATAACATAATAAAGCATTGTTTGAATAAAATTTTTCCAGATCATTTGAAGCAGTAGTTGTCTACATTTCGTTTAATTTTTTTTTAAAAAAGTGTTGATGATTTGTGGAATTTGAAAGACCAAAAAGGGAAGTTTTCAAAGAAAAACTGATAGGGTTTATTTAATTGGAAAAAAGACTTCTTAATATCTAAGAGACAGTTTTATTTTACACCTTTAAACTGGCATTCTTAGCCATGTTTGTTGGGGCCACATGCCACTAGGTGGTGCTTTTCACCTTCTTTTTAACTTATTTTTCTTCTGGTGACTGTTGGATTATTGGCTGAATTATTTATTGAGCAAATTAAAAATTGTCAACTAGGTTTAGGAAAAGAGAAAAAATAACCAAAAAAAATCTTGTTGAAGTAGATAGATTGCTGTTGGAAGAAAGAAGAGTTCATTACAGAATTTGTTGATAGTCATTCACTTCACTGAATTTTAATATGACTTCTCTCCTCCTGAGACTATGGTGGCAGATAGGGTCTTGTAACTGCTAACAGTTAGGTGCTCAGATTATTGGAAGGCCTCCATATACAAAAATTCTGGGTTTCCTTGTCTCAATTCTAAGCATTACATCTTTTTTTTTTTTAAGTGCATTCAAGATTGTATCCTAGACTCTTACAGGTCCTGGGGGGTGGGGGGGAAATGACCTTATTTGCAAGATTTCTTTTTCATTTTTTATAGGCTATGAGAAAAAATAAAAACAGTCCTTTGATGTGTTCTTCTTGACTTTTTTCCCATTCTTGTCAGCTATTTCCGTTACCTTTAGTATTCTGTATTGAAACAAAACAACGTACTCTCTGTCCTGCATTTTTCAAAAATTGCACTTGCAGTTTCTTCACTTATGGTGGCGTTTTAGCATAATCTAAGTAAAATTTCATTGTTGAATAGCGCTAAACTTATTTTTAGTAACATTAAAGCTGCATAATGTGCACAATGTGCATGTTAAATCTTCTTGTGTTGGAGCTGGAGAGATACCACAGCAGGTAGGGCATTTGACTTGCACATGGCCGAGCTGGGTTCAATTCCCAGCATCCCATATGGCCCCCCGAGCACCACTAGGAGTAATTCCCGAGTGCATGAGCCAGGAGTATCCCCTATGCGTCGCCGGGTGTAACCCCAAAAGAAAAACATCAACAACAAAGTCTTGTATTTTGAAGAAACAGTTTCCCCTTCTGTGGTGGCAAAGTGCTTATAAGCCATACATCACTTGATCACTTGATCTCCCGTTATTCATCAATTTACTCGAGCGGTTGCCAGTAACGTCTCCATTCATCCCTGTTGCGTGCTAGCATAGCCCAATGGCATCTGTTCGTTCTAGGAACATGCAGAGCCTCAAACCGATCATTCAGGGTCGACGAAGAAATCTGACCATCTTGTAGGTGGGCGTCCACGCGATCTTTTGACGTCCCGTGGAATCCAGTCAGTAATGGCTCTAGTCCAGCGGTTGTCTGTAAACCTCATTACATGTCCAGCCCATCTGAGTTTTGATGCCTTGGCAAATGAGACAGCGTCCCTGATTCTTGAGGAACTTATTCTTATAAGCCATACATATAAAATTTATTTTGTTGAGGGCTGGAGATACAGTACAGGGGTTGCCTTGCATACAGCTAGCTTTGGTTTGATCCCCTACACTTCATGGTCTCTTGAGCACTGCTCTGAGTGACCGTAAAGCACAGCGTGGGGAGTAGCCCCAGAACCTCTGGATATGGTTCCAACTGCCTTCCCTCCTCTCAAAAAACTAAAGAAATACAATTATTTAAGATAAGTTTTTATTATCTAGGAAATAAAGATATTCCTAGGATCCAAGTAGCTACCCTAATATATTTTTGTGGATGATAAGGTAACTTTGCTTAGTGATTAAATTGATTGAAGACACTTTATTCCTACCTAAGAGTTTAAAGTTTATCTCTAAGAGTTTTAAAGTGTTCAAGAAAAGAATACTGTCCATTTCCTTGAGAAAGTGATTTTCTCTAAAAGTGACTTAAGCTTCTTGAGAGATACCATTAAGCCTTTTCAGATGGGTAGAGACATTCATATATTTGTATATTCTTATGGTGATCGGCTGGAACGATAGCACAGCGGGTAGGGCGTTTGCCTTGCACGCAGCCAACATGGCCGACCAGAGTTCGATTCCTCTGCCCCTCTCGGAGAGCCCGGCAAGCTACCGAGAGTATTTGATATGCCAGACACAGTAACAACAAAGTCTCCAATGGAGACGTTACTGGGCCCGCTCGAGCAAATCGGTGATCAACGGGAGGGCCTTTACTTTACTTATGGTGATCGTGATTAAACTGGCAGTTACATATTTAAATTGGCTTTTTTATTTTCATTATAAAATGAATAAGTGTTGAAGGTTAACTTCTGTTTTTTCAAATTAGGTAATAAAATAGATTTGGAAAAGGAGAGACATGTTTCCACTCAAGAAGCAGAATCGTAAGTGTTAACCCTCCCAGTCACTCCCCATAAAAGTTTTCTGCTTTGCACTGTTTGTTTTTACTAGAAAGTAAGTGATGCAAAGGAAAACTATCTTGATTAGTGAATTACACCCAACTTTAAAGTGTATGGTTTCCAAATTAATTTTTAAAATGCCAAATTTTGTGTTTAAAATTGGATTCAGAACCAAGGAGATAGTAAGACTGGAGCACATGCTTTGCATGTGGGAGGCCTGAGTTCTATCCCCAGCACCATATGATTCCCCCAGTACCACTGGGAATAACCCCTTAACACTACCAGGTGCCTCTCCCACCAAAAAGAAAAAAAAAATTAGGTTAAATGTATAGAATGCTAAGTGTCTGTATAATCTGAATTTCATTCAAATCTGGTTTTAGTATTAAGTCACTGAAGTTGTGCCTCTAAAATAATTCAAATAGTAGTAATGAAAAAATGTTAAAACTTTATTTGCCTCAGTCATCATTACTTTTTTTTTTTTTAAGGTATGCAGAATCTGTGGGCGCAAAACATTATCATACTTCAGCCAAACAGAACAAAGGAATTGAGGAACTCTTTCTTGACCTTTGTAAAAGTATGTATATTCAGATTTATTATATTAAAATATAAATGGTTCTTTAAAAAATACTGTTAATATTTTTAAAAAATTTATTGAATCACCACGAGATACAAAGTTGTTCGTGAATGAGTTCAGTCGTTTAGTGTTCGCATACCCATCCCTTCCCCAGTATCCACTTCTATCTACCACAGTTCCCAGTTTTATTCCTGCACCCCAGCCTGCCTCTGGCAGACACTTTTCTTTTTTTCTTTTAGGCATGTGGTTTGCAGTACTATTACGAAAGTGTATTATGCATACCTCACACCTGATGGTGCTCAGGGATTACTCCTGATTCTGCAGTCAGGAATTACTCCTGGCAGTGTTTTTTGGAGAGGCCATATGGGGTGCCAGGTTTCGAACCGTGGTTGGCCATGTGCGAAGCAAACACCCTCCCTACTGTACTATTGCGCCAGCTTTTAGCACCCAGTTCTTGCCCAGAGTGATCATTTTTCACTGTCTTTGTCACAGTGGTCCCCTCTTTGGCCAATTCTCCCTCCCCCAATTTTGGCTAGCTTCCTTTAAGGACTAGTATTGCTGTCCTTTGTTTTTCTAGTTTTAAATATTTTTCTCCTACTATGCTTCTTTATAAGTCAAATAAGAGCAGTGATTCTGTGTCTGTCCCTCTTTTTCTAGGAGCTTTTTATAGTCTTTAGGGTTTTCTAAGTATATTATAATTTCATCTGCAAATAAGAGAGCTTCTTTCTTTTCTCGCTGGATGCATTTTCTTGCCTGATTGCTGTGGCAAGTACTTATAGTACCATATTGAATAAAAGTAGTGAGAGTAGGCAACCTTGTCTTTTTTTTTTTTTAATGAATCACAGTGAGGTACTTACAAACTTTCGTACTTGTGTTTCAGTCATACAATGATTGAGTACCCATCCCTCCACCAGTGCCCATTCTCCACCACCAGTGATCCCATCCCACCACCCTCCCACCCTGCCTCTGTGGGCATTCCCTTTTGTTCTGCCTTTCCTTTTGGGTGCAACCTTGTCTTTTGCTTGATCATGGTGGAAGGCTTTTATTTTTTCCATTTGAGTATAATGCTTACTATAGGCTGGTGATAAATGGTTTTGACTATGTTGAGAAAAGTTTTCTTCAGTTTCCATCTTATTGAAAGTTTTTATCATGAATGGGTGCTGGATTGTCTTCCTTCGTTGTGGCAGCCTAGGTCGGCCTTGAGATTTTGTCGGCCTCTCCTTTCTCATCCTTCTCAGTGCTGCCATGTCGGTGAAGCCTTCAGGGTCAGGTGAATGGGACCAGTTGTAGTTACTGGTTTTGGCATATCGAATACACAGCGGATAGCTTGCCAGGCTCTTCCGTGCGGGCGGAATACTCTCGGTAGCTTGCCAGTCTTTCCGAGAGGTATAGAGGCTTTTGGGGTGACCTCTAATCACCCTTGTAGGTGTTACCATATTTGAACCCTATCAAATATGGTAGGACAATTCCAGAAGATGGGTATTTAGTGTTTTATGATGTGTCGCGCGGCCGCTTGCGGCCGCGCGGGTCCGGAAAGCGTCCTGGAGTGTGGCGACGGCTGGGTAGTGGAAGTAGTGTCGAGAGTGGAAATCTGCCAGTGGGGTATTTATCTGGGTAGGGTGGGTCTCCTGTGCACAATTCGATCCCTGGGTGGTTGATGGAAGCAGACAGGGCAGGGTAGGGTGGGGCTCCTGATTAGAATCCCTTTGTCACCTGTGGTGGTGGGAGCAAGCAGAGAAGCTCTGTCCCTGGGTCCGCCGAGCCTGGAGTCCAAGGTCTCAGAGAGTTCCACTTATCTTGTTCTGTGGGTCTTCAGTTGTGCGTGGGTCTCGGCCGGAGCCGAGAAAGGAGAAAGGAGAGGCCGACAAAATCTCAAGGCCGACCTAGGCTGCCACAACGAAGGAAGACAAAAATGATCGTCTGTACTTTCAATGCACGTACGCTAGCATCAGATGCATCCATCGAGGACCTGATGGTACAAGCGTGAATGATCAAGTACGACATCATTGGTCTGACCGAGACAAGAAGGCACGAATCTCACCATGCCGTTTTCGACACCAGAGAAGAATTGTTCCTCGGAACATGCAATAAAAGAGGTGTTGGAGGCGTCGGTGTCCTTGTCAACATAAACTTGGCCAAGAGCATTGATTCATTCGAATGCCTAACAACCCGAATCGGACGTTTACATTTGAATAGATGTGGCTCACTACCTGCAGTTTCTATCTTCGTTGTCTACGCACCAACATCTCATTATGATGAAAGAGAAATCGAGAAGTTCTACATGGAGCTAGAGAAGTTCTATAAAGAAGACCACACCTTCTACAAGATCATTGTGGGTGATTTTAATGCCAAGATAGGACCGAGAAGATCAGCTGAAGAACTTCACATCGGGACCCATGGCCTAGAATGGAACGAACAGGGTGAGAGACTGTCTGAGTTCATCATGTCGACCAAGACCATTCATGGTAACTCACAGTTCCAGAAGGCAGAATCTAAACGATGGACATGGGAGTCTCCCGGTGGACGATTCCACAACGAAATAGACCACATCATATTCAATCGACGGTTTTGCCTGACTGATGTCGCTGTTGTCCCAAAATTTCGAACGGGATCGGACCACCGTCTCCTTCGTGCAAAATTCTACTTCACAGAGCGGGGAGAAAGGGCTGCAAAGTTCAAAAAGAGAACTCCCAGAATGACCACCAACTGGGAACTCTTTGGTACTATTGCGGCAACATGGGAAGATGCCATTGTTGACAACATTGACGAGGAATACGATCGACTGGTTCAGCACCTCCATGAATGTGCGAGGAATGCCAAGAGAGAGATAGCCACAAAAAGTCGCCTATCTTCGAAAACTCTTGAGCTAATTCGCCAGCGTGGTTTGGCGCATGCCTCAGGCAATCGCAAGCTAACGTCCGAGCTCCCAAAGCAGTGCAGAGATGCGATCAAGGAAGACCTCAAAGAGAGAAGAGCAGAAGTACTGGTAGATGCGGCAGAAGCCGGGAAAAGTATTCGTAACGCCCGCCTGTCCTTCGCCAACTATAAGACCAAGATGACTGCCCTCCGACGTCCTGATGGATCCATCACATCCTCCAGAACGGCAATGGAGAAGATTATCCATGACTTCTACTCAAATCTCTTCGATAGCCATGTCCACTTGCCGCCATACCAAATTCCACAGGATGGGTATGTCGTTCCTAACGTTCTCCCTTCCGAAATCTGACACGCCATTTCGTTGGTAAAGAAGCAAACAGCACCCGGCCCAGACACGGTCAGACCTGAACACCTGAAGAACCTGCCGTCAGTACTCATCAATACACTGGCTCGGCTCTTCACTCGCTACCTGTCTGAATGCAAGGTTCCGTCCCAATGGAAAACCAGCAGGACCGTACTACTGTTCAAGAAGGGAGACATCCATGACATTGGCAACTATCGCCCGATCTGCCTATTGTCTGTCATCTACAAGCTGTTCACTCGAGTCATCCTGAATAGGATTGGCAGAACACTAGATGAAGGACAACCATGCGAGCAAGCAGGGTTCCGCAAAGGATTCAGCACCATCGACCATATCCACACGGTAACCAAGCTCATTGAGGTTTCTCGGGAGTTCAAGATGCCGCTCTGCTTAACGTTCATTGATTTAAAGAAGGCCTTTGATTCTGTTGAGACGGAAGCGGTCATTGAAGCCCTAGCCAATCAGGGCATTCAAGCCCAATACATCAGGATCCTCCGTGAGCTGTATTGCGGATTCACTACCAGGATCTCACCATTCTACAAAGAAGTGATCGTTGATGTCAAGAGAGGGGTGCGGCAGGGTGATACCATTTCACCAAAACTCTTCAGTGCCACCCTCGAGAACATCATGCGACGACTGGAATGGGAAGGAATGGGAGTGAAGATAGATGGTCGGCAACTACACCACCTCCGCTTTGCTGATGACATTGTTTTAATAACACCAAACATCAGCCAAGCGGCACAAATGCTGGCCGACTTTGACTGTGAGTGTGGAAAGGTAGGACTACAGCTGAATCTTACGAAGACAATGTTTATGAGAAACAGCCTTGTTCCTGACGCCCCATTCGCTCTCAGTGGAACGACCATCTCCGAATGCAACAGCTATGTGTACCTAGGTCGAGAGGTCAACATGACAAATGACCTGGCACCCGAGCTGCGCAGGAGGAAGAGAGCGGCTTGGAACGCCTTCAAGAACATCGAAGAAATAGCTAAGAGGACGAAGAACCTCCGGCTCCGGGCACATCTCTTTGATTCCACTGTTCTTCCTGCATTAACATATGCCTCAGAGACCTGGGCCCTACGCAAACAAGATGAGAACGCAATTCAGGTCTCCCAAAGAAGAATAGAAAGAGCTATGCTTGGAATATCACGTTTCACTCAAATGAGAGAACGAATCCGGAGTTCTGACATCCGTCGACGATCATGGATCAGGGACGCTGTCTCATATGCCAAGGTGTCGAAAATCAGATGGGCTGGTCACGTAATGAGATTTAAAGACGACCGTTGGACTAGAGCTGTTACTGATTGGATTCCACGGGATGTCAAGAGACCGTGTGGCCGCCCACCTACCAGATGGTCAGACTTCTTTGTCAAGATCATGAACGATCGGTTTGAGGCCCTCCATGTTCCCGGAGCGAAGAGATGCCATTGGGCTACACTAGCACGCGACAGGGACAAATGGAGACGTTACTGGCGCCCGCTCGAGCAAATCGACGACTAACGGGAAGTTAAGTGATTAAGTGATTAAGTGGGTGCTGGATCTTTTCGAATGCTTTTTCTGTATCAACTGACGTGATCATACGATTTTTTTTTCTTGTGTTGATAAGGTGTGTCACACTGATATGATATATTACACTGTTACTATACATATTAATCACTTGCTGACCTTTTAAAATGCAGTCCTGTAATTTTATTTAAAGTATTGAATAGTCTCCATGTTTCTTTAAAAATTCTGGAACACATTGACTAGCAAGATAATTCAAAGGTCTGAGTTCATGCTTTGTGTGTAAGAGGCTGGAGTTTGATCTCCCTCACTGTGTGGTCTCCTAAGCACTGAGCCTGGAGTAGCTCCTAAGCACCGCCAGGTGTAGCCCCCTCCCCCCATCCCCCTTTTCGTTGCTTTTTAAAAAGCAGCTATAGAACACATACAAGTAATAGATTTTGTGTATATAAAAGATCAAAAATAAAAATAACAAAAGATTGAGGAAAAAGAAAAACTAGAATTTATAATGCTTTATGAATTCATCTCAGTTAGTTTAACCTGCACCCCTCAATTTAAGAATCAGTGCTCAATGGGCTGTAGTGATAGATAGCACAGTGGGTAGGGCATTTGCCTTGCACGCGGTCGACCTGGGTTCCATCCCCAGCATCCCATATGGTCCCCCGAGTACTGCCAGAAGTGATTCCTGAGTGCATGAGCCAGGAGTAGCCCCTATGCATTGCCGGGTGTGACCCAAAAAGCAAAATAAATAAATAATCAGTGCTCAAGAGTATTTTCTGGAACCAAGTTTAAAAGCTCTTGTCCTTTTTTTTTTATTTTTATTTTTTTACTTTCTATTTTTAGATTTTTATTAATAATTTTAGTTGCAAACATGCAGTATTCCAACACTAATCCCAGTACCATTGCGGCTTCCCACCACCATTATTCCCATTATTCTCAACCCCATAACAGGCCCTCAATAATTTATTTTACATTGCTTGTTATAAATAATTGGCTGAAAAAAAATGTTTCCTTAGAAGAAAGTTTGTGAAGATTGTTGCATTTCACCATGGAGCCCTTAAGCCCTTGTATAAGAGATTACTAATATGTTGTTATAGTTAAGCCCTATGTGTTTATATTTTGTTAATTGTAGTTGGTTGCCTTCTACATTACATCCCATCCAGTTTGGTGCGCTACTCCTGGTTTGTCACTGTTACGGAGTTTGAAATGTTGTGTGGCCAAAATTTCGGCTGTCTGCTTCAGGATGTCCAAAATTTAAATGGGGTGATATAGCTGGAGTTAAATTCCTAACTGACTGGTGACTTTGGGCTTGTGTGTGACTGCTGGGGAAGTACAGGGAGATGGGAGGGAGTCCATCCCTGACCCTGTGAAAGCTGGAGATTTCAATGACAAAACCCTGTGTTTTTCAACAGATTTGTTTCTGGATAAGACTTCTCTGAGCAATGGGGTCCTGCTGGGAACATCCTTGTTCTGTTTTAAGGACCTTCTTCCTTTTTCTATACTCCTTGGTACTCAGAGGCTAATCCCAGTTCTTTGCACATACTTGGGGCTGAACCTGGGACTCCTGCTTGCAAAGCTTGCAGTACAGCTCCTTGAGTTCTCTAGTCTGGACTTCGTCCTTTCCCTTAACTTTTTGATTATGGTCTTATAAATATTCACTCCTAGTCTGTGTCTTTTTCAGTTTTTCTTTAGGACACTAGTTTTGGTTTTATTTTCTTCTTGTTGTTGTTTTTTGCCACACCCAGCAGTGTTCAGGCCTTACTCCTGGCTCTGTGCTCAGGGATCATTCCTTACAGTGCTCGAGATCATATAGGGTATGTCAGAGATTGAATCCAGGTTGGCTTTGTTTATGGTAAGCATCTTACCCATTGTACCATCTTCCCAGCTGCAGGACATTCTGTTTTATAAAGAAATCTTGTTTGACACAGTCATAAAAATTTTGTCCTCAAAAATATCCTTATATGTAAGAAAACATTTTATGGTTTGAATTTTGCATTTGTGCCTGTAATTGTTTTTTTGTTAATTTACACATATGCTGTATCCAGATTACCAGTTTAAGGGTCAACAGTGTGGCTCAGTTGAGCTCCTGTCATACATGTGTGAGTCCCTGGGTTTGGTCCCTGACACTACAAATAAGTGTACAGCTCCGATCCTCCCTCCCTCTCTCCCTCCCTCCCTCCCTTCCTTCCTTCCGAGGCAAGGTAGTTTTTATCGAATGAAACTTGCTTAGAAATATGTGAGAGAAGAGAAAGCGGGAGAAATACGTATTCAAGAAAGCACAGGTTTCCAAGCTGTAGAAAGCAAATCATTTCACAACGCTGTTTCAGCATATCTAATTGGGGGGGGGGGGGTCATAAACTCTAAACAATAATTGTGCATCTTCTATCGAAACAATGTATCTAGTCAAAGTAGATAGAGTATAACTAGAACTCATCTGCCACACAGGAATTGGGAGGGGTGGGAGGTGGGATTCTATTGGGGTTCACGGTTAAAAATAAGTATTCGTAAAGGGAAATGTGTTTGATACTTACATGACTGAGACCTAAACACGAAAGCTCTGTAACTTTTCCCACAGTGATTCAATAAAGAAATAAATTATTATTAAAAAAAAAAAGCACAGGTTTCTTTCAGAGTGAAAATAAGCAAAGAAAGAATCATAGAGATAAGCAAGATAGTTGTTCAAGGAAGAATAAGTCAAATAAATATAGGTATTTTGTTGTTGTTGTTGTTGTTGTTGTTGGTTGAGCCACTCCCAGCTCTCCTCAGGGCTTACTCTAGGTTCTGTGCTCTTTTTTGGTTTGTTTGCTTTTGAGGCCACACCCACTGGTCCCTCAGGGCTTACTTCTGGCTCTGTGCTCAGGATCAGGAATCAGTTCTGGCAGGCTCTGGGGATTATATGTGGTACTGGGAATTAGTTTAGGTAGGTGCGCATGCAAGGCAAATGCTGTACTGTTGCTCCAGCCCCTGAGGGATCACTCTTGGCAGGCCTAGGAGCCTGGGATTCTGGGAATCAAACTCAGGTTGACTGCATGCAAGGCAAGCACCCTACTCACTGGACTATTTCTCAAGCCTTCAGTTCCTGTCTGTACTATTTCCTGCAAACAACTTCCTTCCTTCCTTCCTTCCTTCCTTCCTTCCTTCCTTCCTTCCTTCCTTCCTTCCTTCCTTCCTTCCTCCCTCCCTCCCTCCCTCCCTCCCTTCCTCCCTCCCTCCCTCCCTCCCTCCCTTCCTCCCTCCCTTCTTTCCTTCCTTCTTTCTTTTTCTTTCTTTCCTTTCTTTCTTTTGAGACACTTCTGGCAGGCTCAAGACTTATTTATTTTTGGCTCTGCACTCAGGATCACTCCTGGAGGGGGTCAAGGGATCATATGTGGTACTGGGTTGGCTTTGTGCAGTGCAAGTGCTTTATCCACTATACTGTCTCTCTAGCCCCTGAAAGATTTTTATTTCTATGTTGAATAATCTTGGCACATATGACAAAAATAAAGAGAGCATATTAGCATGCATATATATATATATGGGAGGGGGCTGTATATTTTTCATTGAGTCTATATTTCTCTTTCACCAGTATTTCACCTTCTTCATTAAAGTAACTATCATAGTGTGTGTCCTCCAGCTTTTGTTGTTCTTTTATCTTAGATGCTTTCCTTCTTTTAAATACTGTTTGCTTAAAAATACTATTTCTAGTTGAAGAATGAATCTTGTATCCTAAATATCATTTATACTTGCAATAATTTGGACTTCGTTGACATATTTCTGTGTTTGGCTAATCTTTTTATTTGTTTTGAGCTACACCTGGCTGTGCTCTGGTGGCTGCTCCTGGCTTAGTGCTTAGGTGTTGCTGTGGAGCTAGGGATTTAACCCGGTCCTTATACATGCAGAATATGCACTTCAACTGGTTCAACTATCTCCTTGGCCCTACTTGAGAAATCTTAAAGAACTATACTTGAATGCTCTTAATTGTTCAAAGAAAAAATATTTTTCTTCATTGTAGTAACTGACCATAATACACTGAACGCACCACTTTTCATAACTTTATTTTGTTTAGCTTATTTCAAAATTTCTGTTATTATACTTTAGATCAAATGATTACAATACACTGTCGATCTATTTCTTGTGGTTTGACGGTCAAAAATGACCGTCATAGGGGTGGGGTTGGCAGGAGAGATACTGGGAACATTGGTGATGGAGAATGGGCACTGGTAGAAGGATGGGTAATTAACATTGTATGAATGAAATGTAATCACAAAAGTTTGTAAGTCTATATCTCATGGTGATTCATTAAAATAAAATTTTAAAAAAGAAGTGACTGTCAGTACGCCAAAATTATGGACAAAAAAACCCTCAAAGATTGTGATCTTGATCTGTATCTCCCCCTACTCCTTCCTTTTTAGGGATGATAGAAACAGCACAATTGGATGAGAGGGCAAAAGGCAATGGTTCCAGTCCACAAGGAACTGCAAGGCGAGGGGTGCAGATCATCGATGATGAGCCTCAGGCCCAGAGTGCTGGTGGAGGCTGCTGTTCTTCTGGATAACTATTCACACCGAAGAGAAGAAAATGAACTGTGCATCATTGCCCTCAACATGAAGACTGCCATATTCCAAGTCACATTATTTTACCAATGGAATTATAGAATTAACAGTATTTTAAATTACGTTTATAACACTGCGGAGACCTAAAGTGCTAAACTTAGTGGAGTTTGTGACCAGAGAATTGGCATTTTCTACAAATGTTAATAAAGCAATTACCAATGGCCTTTTTACATATTTTTTTCTTTAATAAGGAATAATATGCATGTAGAAAAGACCTACTTAAAGGCTTCATTTATATTCTTTTAAATCAAATCTTTATTTAATAACTTATATATGTTGTTGGAATGGTATACATTTTTTCAGCTCTTTGTATTTTGTGGTAGTTTTAATTGTATCACTTCTAAATGGCAACCTGTTTCTGTTTTTTGTTTTTGTTTTTTAATTAGCAGATACCTGAAGTACTATTTTTGCAGGGTTTGCACAGACCCCTAACTATCTACTACTTTGATATAATCTATATACATCCTGTATGCTGAGCTGGTAAAATATATTGTAAATTCTGCATTAAATATTTTATCTGCTTTTACAAGAGCAAGGTGCAAAAATATATACAATAGTTTGATGACTGTCATTGTCACTGTCCTGTCACTGTCCTCCTGTTGTTCATTGATTTGCTCGAGTGGGCCCAGTAACGTCTCCATTGTGAGACTTCTTGTTACTGTGTTTGGCATATCAAATACGTCACGGGGAGCTTGCCAGGCTTTGCTGTGCAGGCGAGATACTCTCGGTAGCTTGCCGGGCTCTCGAGAGGGGCAGAGGAATCGAACCTGGGCCAACTGGGTCGGCTGCGTGCAAGGCAAACACCCTACCGGCTGTGCTATTGCTTTAGCCAGTTTGATTTTGCTGTTGTCACTTTTTTTTTTGCCTTTGTAAGTCCAGCTGATGAACAGCAGCATTGCCTTTGGTGTTTATTTGTTTTGTTTGTTTTTGAATAAAAGACATAAGAGATAAGTTATGCTGAACTTACAAAGGCAAAAAAAAGTGACAACAGCAAAAATTCAAGTAATGTATATGTGAAAATTTAAACACAAAAGCTTCGGCATTATCACCATATGTAGTTTCATGACTATAAAGTGAGTGAATTAACATTTGGTGATAAAGCCGAAGCTTTTGACTCTGATATAAAGATCATAGCTCCCCTTTACTTTTGTCTTAACTTGAAAGTGGTGTGTTTAAATTTTCACATATACATTACTTAAATTTTTGCTGTTGTCACTTTTTTTGCCTTTGTAAGTCCAGCAGCTTTGCCTTTGGTGTTTGTTTTTTTGTTTGTTTGTTTGTTTTTGAATAAAAGCGATAAGAGATAAGTTCTGCTGATTCTGCTTTAGAACAGTTACCATAGATGTATTTGAGGGGAGCATGCTGGATTTCACTTCTGCGATGGTTATTGTTTTCTCTTAGACTTTTCATGGCTCACTGGTATGAGATGAAACAGAGGGGAGTCCCTCATAGTGGCCACTCACCAACATTCATTCATATATCATGTTGGTATTTTATGTTTCTGAGACAGCACTTTTTAATCTTTTGTGAATAAATTGTATTTGTTCATTGCTTTCCAGAGATGAACACAGAAAGTTCTGTTTTGTTTCAAAGGTTATTCTTCTGACTTTCTGTGAAAGGAAACATTTCATGTAATGGAGTTATAGTGAACACTGGAAAGACTTATAAAATTATATTCTTGTATTCTTTGTAAATTAGTCTCTCATTCGGGTTGCTTCCTGTCCCCCACCAAACCCCCTGAAGTATAGAATGACTTCATTGTGTGTTCATTTTAATAGAATCAGGCATTGCTCACAGAAAGAATACAAATTGTGGAAATTAACCTAATTCTTGTTCTAATATATATATTTTTCCATTTCTGTCATGCTTGGAAATCAAGTAAATGTTATGTGTAAGACAAAATCAAATGGTACCTGGATTTACTTCTTATAACAAGCATTAGTATGTAATAGAACTATTAGCACAAACAGGTTAAAAAATATAGAGGATTATGGAACTAAAGTAGTAATCCTTTTTATGGGGTCATGACCATGTTCACTGATGCCAGGAGGCTATTCCCAGCTCAGTGAACCTGGGTCTTCTGCACACACAACAGGCCCCCCAACACTTTAGGTTAACTCCCCAGTCCCCTGCCATATTTGAAATCAATGGTGGCTTAAACTTTCCCAAGCTGTCTAAAAAAATGCAGTGAATTGACATCTTGATATCATTTTAGATTTTACTTGAGGCATAGGAGGGGCTCACTTGGCTTTGTGCATGGAAGTTGCCCCCAGCAGTCCTAGGGGACCACGTGATACTGGCACATGAATGCGGCCTTTTGGACTGGCTCTCTGACCCTGGTGTTGGAATTTGAATTGAGTTTTGAATGTCTGTGAGGCCCCATACTAGCTTCTTCCATTGTTTTTACCAGACTCAATACACTGACCTTTATTTGATGTGGGTTGGGAGTGTGGGTTGGGAAGGGTCTGGAGGATAAGCTGAAATTGTCATTTTATAACATGACCATTCTCTGTTGTCTTTTCCAGTGAAGTTTCCTACAGAGTTAGAATTTATTCGACATTTTTAAGGGGAGGCAAGGGCAGTTTAATTCAGGAAAAACTGGTTCTCTGTTCTTTCTGAGGGGGTAAAAAAGCCTTGCCATTTCTATGGAATGGGAAGTAAACTTTTAGATGGAAAGTAAACTCTCCATTGGAGTATTTTGTATATTTTGAACAAGTTAGAGATGAAATTGAACTTTATTCAAAAAAAGTCATAAAGTTGGAGAGACCTGTGTTCTCAAGTTTTACTAAGTCATAAAGTCTGATAGTTGGAGAGACCCATGTTCTCAAGTTTTACTCTGTATTTATGTAAAAAGTACAGTTGGAATCTCTGTTCCAGAGATACCAAATAAACGTTGGTGGGGTACAACCACTCTCCATTTTAATTTTTCCTTATTCTACCTTCGTTTCTTTATCTATAAAGAACTATATCTATAAAGAACTATAACTTCTTAACTATAACCTTCTTTTGGAGGGTAGGGGGAACCTGGGCCATACTCTGGCTCTGTGCTCGGGAATCATTCCTGGCAGTGCTCAGGGGACAATATTTGGTACTGGGGTCTGAACCCAGGTTGGCCACATGCAGGGCAAGCCCCTTACCTGCTGTACTATCTCTGGCCCAGCATTTTGTTTTTAACCAACAATTTAGGCTCAGTTCAGTTAGACTCAGTGTTGATAACATACCTGTTCTTACTCTGAAGGTCAACAGGTAAATTTAGATAGGAATTGGGTGTAAGGGTAATGAGAAGTAATCTATTGTAATATGTAGACAAAGGAAAGATAAAGAAATGGTAAACCAAGGTTGAAGAAATTTTTCTGATGCTTTCTTCACCTCTATAATAAATTTTTGTATTCCTGTCCTTAAAATTGTGCTGTTAGGAAGAAGACACAAGTTAATTGTGTTTATGGTAAATGTAGTAGATAGGCCAGTAAGGAGAATCAGTATTTTCAACCAGTAAATGCATATACACTTAGTGTATATAATTAAAAATGGATTTAAGATAGTCACTAAAAAGTTGATTATGTTAATTATATGCAGTCATTGTATAATGGTGATGGGTATTTTACTTATTTGGCTTTGTGTTCAAGAAGTAAAATCATTGTCTTACATGTAAATTGCAACAGTTTTGGGGTAAACAAAAAGCCTTACATCATTATTGTATAAAATATGAGTCTTCGAATTTGTTTTGTTCTGGGTGTACCTCTTGAAAATATACTAAACTATTGGCTGTTACAGGTAAATTTAAATCTTTATAAAATTCTAGCCATGTTATTAGTGTTTACTTTCTATTTGACATTAAAAAATGACACTCCATTTTTAGATTTTTGAGTAAGAAAAGTTAAAATTTGGAGCAAAAGGCAGTGAGGAGTAAATAAAAATCGACTACATCACAGTTTTTTAAATTATTTTGAAAAATATACATGACCTTTATCAAATAGTTTCTATATAAGTCAAGCAATGCATTGTGCCAAATATTAAAACATTTATATAATGAATTGTAATACTATTTATTTTAATAATATAATTTGAAAATTACCTGTCAATGGTATCTGGAGTATTGGTCATTGATCTTCTCTCCAGAGAATTTGGGTTTACTCTTCCAATTATCACTTGAAATGGTTTAGTCTGCCTTTAAAGTTGAAAGTGTTTGGGTGTGGGGTGCTGGCACTTCATACATGAAAGGCATGCACTCTACCCCTGAGCAACAATTTCAGTCTCTTGAAACCTATGTTGGACCTCAAATTTTTTTACAGGTGAAAAATAACTTAGAGCGAATACGTATTTTGTGACCATTGTAAGATTTTTGAGATAGAATAAAGAATGTAGTGACCAGCAGGAGCTCTGCAATTTTGTTTAAGAGTACAGAGACTGAGTAGATCCTTAAGGATCTTCCTTTTCTGAATTGCAAAATGCGTTAGTGCATTTTACTAAAACGCAAAGTGCATAATTATTACTCAAACTGGGATTCATTGAAAATATACATTTGCTTGATTTCATAATAAATATTGATTCTGATATATGTTCATCTGTAATTTTTAGTCAGAATTTATCCTTCACAGATGTAGAGCTTTGGCAGACTTTCCCTTTCCAAGGAAACACAATCACAATTCTGAGCAAATTTTCCTTAATGTAAGGTTTATTCTAAAAACCTTAGAATAACCATAAGTCAAAAAATTACAAATACTCTAGGTGTTTCAGGGTTTCAAGCAAAAATGCTTGACCATTAACACTGCCTGTGCAAGTCAAGTTTTACATATCTTTTAGAAGTGGAATGTGAATCCAGATAGTAACCTTTCTATTGCAGTATTTTCTCTGGAGTAGATAAATGCAGCTGGCAAGTGAAAGTTACATGCACACCCAGCAAGGATCTTTCTTTTAAGAAGCAACAGAAACCTGCATGTAATTCAGAATATACCACATTAAAGTGAAAAGATGGACCTGCCTATCTAAATAATCTTTTTTTACCATGATATTAGTTCTCATCTTGATATTGATACTTCTTGGCAACCGTATCATCAGTGCATTATCAAATACTCAGGAAAAAAAGCTTATGCGACTTTCCCAGATTTGAATTTGTCTAATGTAAGGTGAGGCTTAGTAGAAATAGGATAATACTAAAACATGGACAGCTTGAGACTAGAGACATAATTGGCTGGAGCACATCTTTTGCCTGAGGGTTCAGTCCTTGGCACCACATGGTCCGCATAGCACCACTGGTGTGACCAAAAAGCCTAGAAAAAAATCAGACCAGGGTTAGCTAGAGGCCTAGTGCACGAAGTTGACCAAAGTTCAATCCTTGCCACCCACCTGGGAGCTAGCATTGCTGGATATGTTTTCTTACCAAAAGGGGCAATGCTAGTATTTCCTAAACTCTTCAATTTTAGGCTGTTTTAAAGAAACCATCATACATAGTACGCATTTGAAATGTAAAATGCATTTTACATTTAATTAGGATATAGTGGGGGAAGGGATGTTTTTCAAATGTAGATTCTGTGAAGTTTCTCATGGATACTGTGCCTGCCTCCCATCGATAACTACTGCTCTCTAGTACTTAAATTGCCATTTTGATACATAACACACACATAATTATACACCTATAGAGGTGTGCAGTCTTTTGCTTTTGGATCACACTCAGGAGTGTACAGAGATTCTTGGCTTAGGAGTGACTACTGGTGGTGCTAGGGGAACCATTTGCAGTGGTGGGATTCAGTTAGGTCTGTGTGCCAGGACAAGCACATTCACTCTTGTACTGTCTCTCCGGCCCAGAAAGATGTCATTTTGTGCTTTGAAATTTTTTACATAAATTTCGTCTTAGAATAGTTGTTTTACAACTTTTTTCTATGACTAGTATGTCTAGAAGCTCTTATGTTAGCATGTTCAGACTCTTTGACATTTTATTTTATTTATCTTTGGGTGTATTTTGCCTTTTGAATAACCTCTGACTTTCCATGAAATCATCCCAAAGGAAATCTGATTAATTAGATGCATTTTATTAGAATCATAGAATTTAGATGCATGCCAGTGCTGCTTACTGTAGAAAGAGTAGGTTACCCCTAATAGTATGTGAATCAGGAAATTAAAATGCATCTGCCTGCAATTAGTTGAAATACATTATTCTTGGCTTGCTGTGGTTTTATTTGGCAGGGGAAGGATTGAATCACACCTAGTGGTCTCAGGAGCTATTCCTGTGTGTCAGAAATTGGCAGGGGTTGGCTTCATGTAAAGCAAGCTTGATGCACTACAAACTGGCTAGAATATAAAGTTTTGAATTAATAATTGGGAGCCAGAGAGATAGTATAACTTCTAATGTGCTTGCCTTGCATGCAGTCAGTGGGGATTCAATTCCTGGCTCATTTCATGGCCTCTAAGTCTGCCAAGAACACTGCTGGTTGTGGCACTAAAACCAAAACAACCCAAACCACAGAGTTAGCTTTACTTGATTATTTAGAATAGTTTTGTGGGGGTTTTTTGTTTGTTTTTTAAAAATTAAAAAATTTTTTAGTGGGATTCACCTGGGATCCCCCAGTAAGTTTTCATTTTCAGAGGGTCCCAGAACACACCTGGTGATTCAGTGCTGGGGTAACACAAGTCTTGGCACCTGCCAGGCATGTGCTCTACCACTAGATCTAGCTCCCAGCTCCCAGAATAGTTTTTCTTGTTTTGGGGCTACACTTA